ACCCAATTGAATTTTTTATATATAAAAAAAATTATATATTTTAGCTTAATAAATTAAAAAAATAAATTATATATAAATATATAATAAATATAAATTAAAATTAATATTAAAATAATTTTTTTTAATTTTTTTTATTATTACAAGATTAGTACATTATGCAAAATATTAAAAACCCAAGAGCCCATTGGGCTTTTTATGGGGCTAACCCACCTAAAAAAGCCCAATGGGTTCTTGGCGGGGGCCCTGATTTGGGTTTCGGGCTCTTGGCGGGGGCCCTGAGTTGGGTTTGGGGTTCTTGGCGGGGGCCCATGGGGGCCCATCCTGAAACCCTAAGTGTTAGCGGAAGGGAAGTCAGGAAAAGCAAATACGGGCGTCGTTTGTATTAAGCGAGGACGTATTCCCGGGAGTTAACAATTCTTCAGTATAGTTGAGGCGTCCGCAGCAGAAGAAAACGCCAACGGCCAGGCTTTGAGGTAAAGAAAGCAGAACTGAGTCAGCAGAGGCTATCGTACAGAGTTATCAAATTTACGGAGTAATTAAAAACGTTGATGCTACTATTTATGTAGGAAATGTTATGGTTCATCGTTCCTTAGGACCTTAGCATGGCTGCCATCTTTATATTTGAGATTTTGTATGATATAACTGACTTTCTATTCTTCGACGTCGAATAGCCATGCTGAAGGCATAAACCCTCCCATAGGATACTATGAGCAGTTGCCCTTGAATCTTCAAGTCTATTCGTCACTGAGTAATGAGATTCTCATAATCAGCTCATCAAAATGTCTGCCTGCTATCCATTCACTGGAAAATCAATGAGTCCCCCTTTGTATCGCTGTTATAGTGGTTAATGCGGCGAGGTAATGCTATAGGGCGGATACAACATTATGGTAGGGAATGACAGCAAGAATGTCAGAAGATGAATGGTTCTAGTGGGATTCCTTACTATGATCAGCTATTGATTATGATGGCATCACTGCTACGTTGCAGGTGGTTATGTTAATGTTGATTGTTGCTGTGACCAGCAGCTACGCATTCAATTTCATGAGCAACTGTCCCACGTGTTGGGCTATAGACAATGGGAATTCACATTGTTGTTAGCGCGAGTACATTGACAGCCTATTGAGACCGTTAAACAGCAACAAATATTCAATGTACTCTCATAGCTCGTCTTCATAACATAGTAACGCTACATGAGACTTGGTTTCTGTTGCTCGCCTTCAATATATATATATTTCTCCGTGTATCTACTAACCTGCTCTCAGAGTCCATCAAACCATCAACCAAAAACACCTCCCACCACAACCAACAGCTTCAGTTCCCAACAACAATTCACTCTTCTCCCCTTGACTTATCGAGTTGAACCACAACAGCTTCATTGCGCTGACGCCTGAATATCTCCATCACCAGCAACACTTCGATACACCTTGCCTTTTACTCGGACGTAATCGACATGGCGGAGACCTCACAACCCTGCTCTACATTCCACTCTTTCATAAAGCTTCCTGCGGAGCTGCGCAACGAAATATGGTCCTATGCCTCCTATGCCATTCTTGGTGACTTGAAACCAGCTTTGTATGCATACAAGCAAGGCTGCTGGCGCGGGAGATGGCTATTACCATGCGAGCAAGACCACCACCGTGTCGATCCTGTGAACCGAACTCTCGAATTCTATCCCCATCTGCTAGACAAAGCCCGGGCCGAGGTGTCGCTGGCCCTTGTCAACAGAGAGGCCCACAGCTTCGTCGTCAAATGGGCACAAAGATCTGGGTATCGTCCTTGCATCAGGCAAGGACAGTTTTTCTTCCTCCGTCCGTTCCTCCCGGATCGCGACGCAGTCTTTCTGTGTGAATCTGATTGGTACTCTCTTGATCTCGACGCTTGGGGTGAAATACACAGGAGGGGTCGCTCTTTATTCGTCGAACCCGGTCTTACGCGTATTGCCTTGCCGAAAACATTGCTTCAGCGCGGACCTTTGAGGCTCGGGGACTGGACCCTGTCGCTCGGTGATTGGATCGAGACCTATCGTACTGTCAGGGCCCTGTACATCGTCATGGATGTGCCGTCAGATCAGGATCTATCTAAGGAGGTCAGCACACTGACGCATCAACGATTCTGTGAATTAGAGAATATACACAATGTCGCCTCGTGGAATGCCGATCGAAGCTCTTGGAACCGGAAATGGACTTTTGATTTCTCCCATCCGACATGGGGCAATAAGGACCGCCAACTTGTAGAGAAAGTTTGTCGGCATATCAAAACACTTTCTTTCTTCTCAAAGATTGACGAATTTGAGATATTCCTATGTTCTCATACCATAAAACGAAAGCTATGAAAGGGTTTAGTGTCATGGGAGTTGGTATCTAGAGTGAAGTCAAGTCACCGCAGAGTAGCAACTAGGTCCTGGTATGGAGAAAGGGCTTAATATTATTGATTCCTGACCCTCTCTCTCTCCCTCTATACGGGAGAGTAGGTCTCTTACATAAACACAATGCCAGTTATTTCCACTTTATGAGATCCTTCTCTCACTTGCGACCTCGATACCTGATATTTATGATTCAGCATGTAATTTAGTTTAATTTATGAATTTAAAACATTATACAGCGGCTCTCGGTAAGGCTTATACGGTTTGTTTGACTGCGAAAGGACTGCTAGCGAGCACATCATGCCATGCCATAGCCCACCTTTTCTCTGTACATATAATCTTGGCCTTAGCCGAGACTCATTATATCATTTCAAAAGAAGTAGAGTCCTGTGTACGATGACATGCGCACATCTTGCTCTGTATATCTCCCAAGCCATGCTCGTAATATCAAGCCGATTAACGATTACTCGTACATGTTGTCTATTTTAAAACAATTAAAGACTCACCCACGGCATTTATTATGTTAAGCTGTCGAGATGAAGAACAAATCATCTCGAAAAAGAGCTAGTGTGCGGCACGGAAGAGAATTCGGGTCCATTTTCATGAGGGAAGAGTCACGTGAAAAGCTTGGTGATGTTGGTCGCAGGTGGTATGGAGGCTTACACACCGACTTTTCCATATTTGTATGCAACAAGTCTTTCCGTTAGATCTATACATGTTTATGCTCTCTATCCTCGAGGCACCTCCATCACCAACAGTCCCAGGGTAGCAGGGGAAAGGGAACGCAGTATTCTGACAGTTCGAAATAAGTGCACACGCTAGCCAGACGATACCAGTCTTCTAACGAAAGCAGTTTGACCATCTACTGTCTATGCATCTGTCTGAACCACATCCTGCCATTTTTGACTTGCATTAATAAACAACACTGTAGTATAACTCTTGAAAAGCATTGGTATTCAATCCCAACATCGGTACTTCCTAGCATGGCCCCTATCTGGTCAAAGCAGCCATTCAAGGCTCTCTACACTACATACTACGTCTTAACAACTCTCGTCATTTTGCCGTGGCTCTTGCTCCGCTACAGCCTCAAGTCAGCCAGGCCGTTCCCGGCATGGAATCTACGCTACTCCATTATCAACTCCATAGCACGAGGCTTGTTTGCATACTATGCCCAGATCAGGTCGAATGGAATGTCCAGTCTGCTTTCAGACCATGCTAAAGCAGGACATCGTTATGCGCTCGCAAAGCCGGCTGAAATAGATCTCTATTCTGGAGTACTGGCACCCGGCGAAGCCACCCCAGCGCCCGTTGGCGGTCTATGGTATCCGGCCCCGCTGCTTGCCAACTCATCCGATGTGAAAAGCGCCAAAGTTGTCCTGCATTTCCCTGGTGGTGGCTTTGTCCGTGCATACGGACAGGAATCCTGGGGGAAGTCAGTATCTAGTGCAATTCTGGATTTCTCCACGGCAAACTACGTCTTTTTTGCTCAATATCGGCAATCAACCGATAATTCTACCCGGTTTCCTGCTGCTTTGCAAGACGTGCTCACATTCTACATCTACCTACTCCGCTTGGGGGTTAATGCGAAGAAGATCATCGTGTCTGGGGATTCGGCAGGTGGAAACCTGGCTATCGGTCTGCTGAGATATCTGGAAGCCTCAGCTTCCTCGAGGACCCCTCTACCTCGCGGTGTTATGCTCTGGTCCCCCTGGGTTCATGTAACCCGGCAGGCAGGGGCCGATTTCAAATCAAACAAGACATCAACGAATGACTGCATAGTTGCTTCGTTCCTCCAATGGGGCGCTGATGCATATTTTCCCGAGCGCGAGCTAACTGCAGAGGAAAGCGCTTACATCTCGCCTTTACACCATCCATTCCACACGAAGGTCCCTGTATTCATCCACGCAGGGACGGCCGAAGGGTTCTATGATACGATCAAAAAGTTCACGACTCAGATGAGGCAAATGGACGGAAACCGCATTAGGTCACACTCGACAGACTTTACAACTCATAATATAATTATGGCTTACCAGGGTTCGGGCCTCGAGAAAGAGATGGAAGTAGCTGTGAGAGACGCGTTCCATTTCTTCGAGTTATAAAGATATAAGCATCGCATGCTGAACAGTTTCGCCAAGCTTAAAACCGGATTTTGGTATTATGAACTCTTCCGTGTAGCTCTTAGCCCGATAGCCATTCGTCTGAAGTCTTCTAACGTACTCAGCTCTAGTATCTGTGTCGAATAGTAAACCGGCGCCTATAACATGACCGGAAACCTGATTGATGGAAAAGGCGAATATACTCGACGACCTATTTAACTGTTTCAAATCATGAGATGAATACTTTCTAGACACTTTTCAGAATAAAACTATCTTATAAGAAAATAACGCCTCGTAATAAGCACGATGCATCAACTAACCCCTGAAGATATGTTAACCGCTTCCTTGCCACTCCACACCAACTGGAAGTACACACAATGCAATAACTTTTCAATAATCCATGATCAACGATCTCCAAGCCAACTACATACCAACTTTATATGTTTCGCGACAATACTACCTGTCTAAGCATCTAATGTCCAATGATTGGACCCAAATTAGAGCCGTAATCCTCCATGAGGCACCAATCAGAGTGGTCGACCGGCCTCGTGGCCTAATGGCTAGGGCGCTAGATTTCGGTTTTCAATTCTAATCTCTAGAGATTGTCGGTTCGAGTCCGGCCGAGGTCGTATCATATGAATCCCATCAAGATTGTATTTTTGCCATATTTGTCGTGGGTTGTATGACATCCTTTGATCAGCGAGATGTGAGTGAAGTCGGCATCACATGCTTTATAGCCAAAACTTTATTCCACGTTCTGGTGAACATAAAATCAAAATATTCTCTTAAAACCCTGACACTATTTTGCTTTTGGTATATTAAATAGATTAAGCATCAGACGTACCGTGAAATCTAAGTGGCCGCACGGCTTAACAAGTCTAGGGATGTATTCAGCTTTGCTTCAAAGCTATCTAACACAACCCTCGCATATCGTGTTTCCCATTCTAGGCACCGAGTTGACCAAAACCCAACAGACTATTTTTGGGGCAGGGGACTGGATAGCACGACATGATCCCCCAGGGCTCCGTACACGCACGTGAAGATGAAGTATCCAATACAAGAACAAAAGATCTGAAGTGAAAAGAAGTGAAAAGTAAACATAGTCAATAGTCATATTCAAATAGTGCCTAATACTTTTATCGTAAAGACCGCCCAAAGACCATCCAGTCGCCAACTCCGTAGGTAATGTCTGCCCTGACGCCTGAACGCCACCCCTGCCCCTGCCAACATGCCATGCCAAAGCTACCCTAATATGAATACACGAAGAGATAATAGAAAAGGGAGAAAGGTTTCTGTTTTCCGCCTCTGTTCGACGACCTGCGCATGAAAGGCAGCTCAAGTCTCTTTCCCGCCTTATCCGCTGCTACCCGCGTAACCGCTACAATTCGGTTCAGTGAACTCCCGTACTGTGGACGATGGATAAGCTGGACTAGTATAGGCCCCAAAACGCTTCAACGCTTAGGTCCCAAAGACGGTATAGCTGACCAGCGCGCGATTGTGCTGAATCATACATCCTCTCTGAACACAGATCTTCTCTCCGAGACCGAGGTGGGACTATCATGTGTCGGGCCGGCGGCAGTTCTAGCAGCATGCGTGTCAAGGGGTCTCGGACTAACGCCTCTCAAGCTCAAATTGCTAGGTTCGGCAGCACTATCATCGAAGGGATTCAGGTGCCCTCCTTCTCTCGCAGCAGATGGCGCACCGTGAGGCGCTTCGAGACCGCTAATACGTGGGTTGGGGCTGCGCCCTCGATTCTCATCGACACCGTCGCCAGCTAGATTCATCTGGTATCCAGAACCCGAGTAGGGACCGTGAGGCGCTCGGTCCTCTAGCTCTTGATCCTCGGGGTAGTATGCGCCGCCTTCGTGGCCAACGCGGGCGTCCCAGGCATCGTCCGGGTCGAGAGGTCCGAAGCCGCGACGGCCGGCGGGGGCGCTGGGCTGTTCGTATGCGCCGGCTGCCGAGCGCGGGTTCTTGAAGGACTGGAAGCGATCGCTTATCCACCCGCGGACGCCACCGGATCTGGGCTGCGGGGCTCCATAGGCCGACTGGTTAGAGGAGCCGGTGAAGGGGATGTAGGAGGATAGAGGAGGGGAAGGAAGCTGCGGAGCAGGTATTCACAGGTTAGCTCGTTCGAGGTGGCAATGAGTCGCATGCAGGGCGCATGTCGATGTCAGGGGCAAGCAGGCGAGGCAAGGCAGGATGGATGGAAGTAAGGAAACGAAAGGCGTAATTGAGATGCCGACATTCTTGGCTTGAAGTCTGACTCCGATTGGAGGGGGGAGCAAAGAGAGTGTGATGGTCGGGGCTGTGGATTGTGGATTGACGGAGTAGTGAAGCGAAGTGGTGATGTTATGACGTTTCCCGGGATAGTGAGACAAGCATAGTTAAGGCGGCGCATGAGCAAGGGCAAAGAGATAGGGGAGGGGGAAGGATAGAAAGTAGTTGGGGGGCAGAGAATGATGAGATAGACATACGCCTAAGCGTCTTGCGCGCAGCTGTGTGAAGATGACCCAGCCGATGGCCGCGACAATCAGCAGCACGACGAGGACGATGAAGAAGGTCCCCACGGCGCTGACAGCCATCTTCAAACCTCAGACCTCAGACCTCAGACCTTAAGACGATGGTGACTCCAGGTGAGATGGGACAACGGTAGACGAACCCGGCGACGGATGCGCGCCGTGTTCGTATGGACTTGTTGGTGGAGAGCTCCGAGAGGCAGGACGACGAGGTGGGTGTAGGTATGTGTCTAGAGTAGGTACTGCTGTACTGTATGTGGTCTGCTATCCACACACGACCTTGGCACGAACGCGGGTGGTGGTGGTGGTGGTGGTGTGGAATGGTGATCGGATCGTCAGGCGTAATTGTCTGTCTGACCAACCCAACGACCAATGTTCAGTTCATTCATGCATCTGTGGTCTTGCGAGTCTTGGTTTTGGGCTGAGTCCCTCCCGCTATCCAACCTTGGAAGCTACTGTAGGTAAATACCAGAACCCCAGCAGGTCTATACTAAAAGCCGCTAAGCTTATTGCTCAGTTAGGACTCCCATTCCTTCCTATTGGATTATCACGGACACAGCTAACGAAGCTTTAGGTAGTGTCTTGGGAAAGCTTAGGTACTTCATCTACTGTATGTCGAACAAAGCCACCTTGCCGCTACAGTACTGTAAGAGGAGAGCCCACCCCACTAAATTTAGTACCTACTGGTGCGAACTGCCTGTACTAGTATAGTACAGGCTAAGCCGGACACCAATGCACAACAACAGCCAGGTCCCGCAGCTGTCCGAGTGACGTGACCTATTACCGGGCCTCTAGTATCCCAGGTCTACACTATTTACAAATTGTAGGTGTCGACTTAGTGTAGATTTATGCAAATACACTACATACCCTACGTCCTCTTGCAGTACACTTAGACTAGGTAGGTACTTAGGTTGGTAGATACAGTACACATGTATGGATGGCATCAGTAGTGCACAGCAAACGATGGATTCAATGTCTCACTTCGCCAGCCTATCAGCGCCACCAAGCCACGACGCATTGAAATCAGCCCTCTGTATGTCTCACTTGCGGAGGGCAAGTCGGAAGTCAAATCTGCCTCGTGACGCGGTTTTTTTTTCTTTGTCTGTTACCCCATATACCCGGCTTCCTCCGGTGTTGCTCCTGTACCCTCCCGAATGATAGTGCAGAACCGTTTCGTCATGCACATAGGTATGTCATGATCGTGTACATGCTATATGATGCATATTCGAGAAAAAAAAGGGGCGAATCCCCGCGAATGTGTGTGTGCGTGTGGAATAGAAGCTGAAAGTTGGTTGCAACCCGTCTTCTTTCGAGATTAGCTCTATTCTAAACTCTTCCTCGCCACGGTCGAATGTGTCTGATGATCAGCAGTGTCCTAAGTATTCTATGTATCAAAATCGCCTTCTACTACTGTACAAGCTCTCGCTATCTCGCTCCGTCCATTACCTGCTGTATTAATTCGGGAAAAAAAAAATGATTGGGTCATTGGCTCTAAAACTTGCTTGACGTCTGCTCCCTGTGCCATCCCTTCAACGCTGGGACGCACGCATGCATTGTGCCCCATCGTCATTTGTTTATGCGTAGCACAGGTCCCAATGCCCCCCTTGCCTGGCAAAGCTCAGGCTGTCCACAAACTTGCTCACCGTACAGCGGCCCAGTGCATCGACGTCGCAGTTCTGCAGCGGGATCACTCTATCGTTGACAAGCACCCGCACGAACTCCTCCTCCTCGACGCCAGGACACTGCATCTTCTCCACATACATCCTCGCCGCGAAGGGCACAGCCCAGCTGGCCCCGTAGCCCTTGCTCTGCCTCGGACTAGCCTTGGTTGTATTCGAGAGGGGCTCCGTGGCATTGTACAGTCCCAGCGCGCCAAACACACCTGACATATCATTGTCGTGGCTGAAGTCCGCGTACAGCACGCTGTCGAGGGGGAAGCTCTTTCGGGAGCTGTCCAGCGTGGTATTCGTGCTCGTGGCGTCGACTACCGGCTGGCCCGTGAGTCTGGCAATCAGCTCATTGACAAAGCCAACCCCTTGCGTCGGGGCAAGCGGATTGCCGTTCGTATAGCCGTACCACTTGCCTAATGACTGGTAGTAGTCGAAACTATTCCACTCATCCTCCGTGAACAGACTACAGAACGGAGACAGATGGCCGTCGGTATTGGCGACCGTCTCAAAAGGGCATACATCCATTAGGTGAATGATATCCGAGTTTGACAAGTTCGCCCCTACGAGATTCTTATTAACCCGCTCTGCGATCGGCGGCACAAACGTGTCGACCCAGATCGCTTGCGCGTCGTGGCCGGTATCTGGGCCCTCCTTGAAAGCTGTGCACGTCATTGGGCTGAGGGTATTATTAAATCCTTCCACTTCTGGAAGAACGATCGGCTCGTAAGGGTACGCATCCGGGAATTTGGCGTTCTTGTCCGCCAAGCGTGCCTGGTGAAAGCCTTGCGTCCAGTTCACCGCCGAGTCCACGACGCGCTGTTGGCCAGCGCTTCTGACAAAAGGCGATACATTCCTCGCCAGCTTCTCGTACCGTCTATAGAAATTAATTCCGGAATTGACGAGCTGCTGCTGCCCCAATACGGTAAGTTGGTCGGCACCAAGCGTGTACTTGTAGTCCTTGATGAAATTATAGTGCTTTCCGTAGTCCGTCACGTTGCTATGTATATTATCAAAAAGACTCGCGTAGGCCAAGCTCTTACTCAGCGTGGGATCGCGAGCCCCATGGCGCGATAGCACTTGCGCAAAAGTCAGCTCGCACCCTTTTGGGATATCGCTGGGGATACCCGAGGGCACTGTAAAAAAAGGTGAGTATTGACCCCATGAGTGGGATATTGCCGGTTGACATTGGAACCCCGACTTGACATAGTCACAGGAATGTCTTTTGCTCGTTCGTCTGACGCCGGTGCTGGTTAGCTTGGTTGTGCATAGCGTAGGTGGAGGGGGTTATAGCAGTTGAGTAGAGACACACGTGAAGTTGATACCGAAGATACCCACGATCGCCAATAGTAGGGCCACCCCGGTGAGTCGGATGATCGATTTATGTCGGTCAGCCCATGTTGCAGCACGTCTCAGGTTCTCCTGCCGGCTGCCGTTTTCAGG